AATAAAATTGCCTTTCTGTTCAATTAACTCTTATTGCAAAGATTCCAGTTCATCAAAGTTAGTTGATAAAGACAAAATTCTTTATGATCTATTTTATGATCTTTAGATCTTATAATTGTTTCAAATTCTTAAATTTGTTATATTAAATAATATTATAACATATTATTGATACGTCGAATGTGAAAAATATCCATCATATATCTTGGTAGAAATCTGATTTATGGCCGAAAGAATATCTAACAACAGAACTCTATTAAATTAGTCCTCCCGTTTTTGGGAATCAGAAGATAAATAGTTCAGAATTAGGATTTATCATCTATCTATCCAACATCACACAAATGAAAGAGTTGATCCATAGCTTAGGAATCCGAAAAAACTATCCACCCCTCATAAAAATCAATCTATAGTGATAATTATTATTAAACAAATGCAAAATGTTTGTCCAATGTTGCATGCGGAATTATTGTTGCGTTCGAAAATTCGTTTTCGTGAAAAATATTCGTATTAAGCAAATATATAATTATTATGGCCGGGAAAACAGGACGATCCGGCATCCTCTTAATGTTAAAATTAAATAAAAGTTGATTTTTTTATGGAAATCTGTAAAAAGTTTTTCCAACTGCGGATCTTACAATTAAAAAACGAGAAAAACGCATGACTTTTATATTTCCCAATTAGGAAATGATATCGAATGTGAAAAATATCCATCATATATCTTGGTAGAAATCTGATTTATGGCCGAAAGAATATCTAACAACAGAACTCTATTAAATTAGTCCTCCCGTTTTTGGGAATCAGAAGATAAATAGTTCAGAATTAGGATTTATCATCTATCTATCCAACATCACACAAATGAAAGAGTTGATCCATAGCTTAGGAATCCGAAAAAACTATCCACCCCTCATAAAAATCAATCTATAGTGATAATTATTATTAAACGAATGCAAAATGTTTGTTCAATGTTGCATGCGGAATTATTGTTACGTTCGAAAATTCGTTTTCGTGAAAAATATTCGCAAAGAATATTGGGAAGATATCGCGAAAGCAACATATCACGTCGATCGATTTCTTTGTCGCGTGTTTGCGAAAGCAACCAGCTTGAATATTAACCAATGGAGCGAGAGATTCGAGGATAATCCTGTGTTTTCATTTATTGCATTGAATCTTGATCGGTCTTGATTACTACTAGCTAGTCGTCCAGAGGCGAAAGATATATTTTGCTTTTTATTTACTTTTCTTCACCGAGGAAAATTATTTTTTATCTCTTCGGTTTTTCTTTCCATTTGCTCTCTGCGCATTTTACATTTGATTATATTTCCGTCTTTTATCTCATCGGATTATTAACAGGAGTATTGTTAATTCATAAAGAAACATCTATGTGAGCTTATTTGAGACTTTATTTCTGATCCATCTAATAGTAAAGTTGTTCCAATTTTCTCAAATCACAAAGTATTCAAAATTAATCTTTGCTCTACATGTAAAAATAAATCCAGTTTTATTATTTAATTCATCTATACTAAATTTAAATATAGTCACTCTTTGCTTCTCGTAAATTCGTAATTTTATTGATCATAGCGTTATTGATCATAAATGCAATAAAATTGTACAGGATATTCGATAACAATATAGCAATGTTTTTTTGTCAAAAATTAATTTAATCTTTTCTTGACGTGAATATAAATAACTTTCACTTAATAATTAAAAAACGTAATTTTCTATCGAATTATGGAATATGATAAAATTGTATTCTCAAACTAATTTTGGATGGATTTTAATAAAACAATTGCTTCCAGATATAATTTTCAACTTATTTAATAAAAATGTTAAAAACCTCCAAAAAATTTTGTAAAAAATCTCGTTTCTCTTTCTAATCAAATTACGGTAGAGAGGAAAAACCATTTTAGTCTTTAATAAAAAATATTACACTAATCGCCAAATGCGCTTATTGTTGAATAACTTGTACACATAACTAAAATTCGCAACCAAAAGTATAGTTTCGTAATTTTAGCATTGCAACGACGATATGCATGTTCCTCGATAAGAATGCGCGCCGTTCGCGGCTCCTTCGCAAAAGATCGGCGACCAGACACGTTTCGCTGATCGATTTTTATCAGCTTCTCGTACTTCGCAAACTGGAATGTATGTTAATCGACTGTCCCAGACATGATGCAATGTAACACTTTCTCCGCAGTCTAGTGCGGCGATTTTGGCGACGCCTACCTAATGTGGTTTACACGTGCGATAATCATGTTATGGTTGTCTGCGATCGATTATTCTAGTCATGCAAAATCAAAAATATGCCGCGGGAAAAAGAGAAATATAAATATACAATAAAAATGTAAATATAACAAAAATATAAAGTTTCTTCAAATTGAAACAAAACTTGACATAATATAATAATAATAATGTGTGTGTATTACATGTATTTAATGCATGTAATAAAAAAGTTATAATGATAAGATACATCCTGTGTACTTACACAAGGAGTTTAATTCATTTCTTAATCACATTGGTCATATTTTATATATCATACTTTTGTATATATTGATGGAAAGTAATAGTAAAATGATGTTTTAATCTTTACAATCAATAGTATTTAATAGCAAGATGATGTTTGTGTTTTAATGTGCTTTTACCGAATTCCTTTTATCGAAGAATGCACCATCTGGAGTATGTTATCAGATAATTACGAAGGATACTATGTAAGGCGATCAATTATCTAATTTCTTGACCACGTAGGAGAATTAGCTCTATGAAGAATAATTATCTCGCATTAAACTCTCGTTAAAAAAATCCGATAATCGTGTAACGTCTACCACAGCGAACATTTTTTTGGTCAAAAAAATCTAATACGAACACTGTGAGGTTATTCATAGAATTTATCGATATAATCTGATAATATAGTGTATGTGAAGAACTGAACAATATTAAAAAGCAATCGCCTGCTAAGAATGTTTGTTATGACCTAACTGATATTCAATTGGATACTTCTATCTTTAGTTTAGATTAAAATTGTGTATTATTATGTCTCATACTTAATAAACTACTTTGCATTTGCAGATCCGTCGATGAATTTGCAATTAATTCTGCTTAATATAAAATTATCAATAACCGCAAATTCGAAATTGTCAACATTGAATATATATTTTTGCAATCTTCACAAATTATAAATTTAATAAAGAGATTAAATAGAGCACAAGATCAAATCAAAAATAATTTTGCAATTTGTTTGCATCTCTGAAGTTTAATTTCAGAAAAATTTTTATTTTTATTAATTTCAAAATCATGAGTGTATCGTTGAATATAAAAAAAAATTACTCCTTATTGGTCAAAGAATTCGTAAATAAATCCCAAGACGCTCTATATTTTGCAATCCTAACGAAAATAGGTTCTGCGATGATTACAAAGGAAAAAAGAGGACTTAAATCGCGAATCAAAGGAAGTGCTTCGTAGCACAATCGTAAACATTATATTCTCATACATTTTCCTTATTACTATATATATCGAGTAAGATAACTCTATTGCGGAGAGGAAATTACTCGACGAGTGATTGTCATGTGGCTTATTTATGTGATTGCAATTGCCGCGAGATAAAAAAGATAAAAATAAATGCGCGCCTAAGTTTATAATCTAACTTACAATTAGCGTCATCGTTGCGTGAATAAAAACACGTCCTTGTATATATTTTACTTGTATATGTAAATGTGTAAAGCAGTATAAACAATGGAACGATAATTTTAGAACACAGTAGTTGTTGTAACTCCTCTCTCCGACATTATATAAAAATTAAAAATCCTTCAACAGTAACGTGTCATAAAATTCACGTTTATAGAATTAACTGTTGATACTACAATTATTGATATTAAAAAATCTGACAATAACCTTATGTTCGCAAATAAACTTAATTAATAAGAGAATTAACACAAGCTATAATTCCGCATGTACACATATTTATTATTAGCGGTGCATTCATGTATGTATTATTTTAAAAGTAAACATATTAATGATATTACACATTAATTAGTATCGATCATGTGTGAATATGACTTAATTATATTGTTATAAAATAATATCATTTCCTGTTTAATTTAATTATTGTATCAATTATTATACCGTTTAATTTTGGTTCGTGTATTTTCTTAACGCTCGTGGCAATTTCATATTTATGCCAATATACGTGTGTACGTGTATGTATATATATAATTAGCTCTGGAATTAAAATTCTATTAAAACAAATTTAAAATTAAACAAAGAAAGTTTTGTTATCTATTTTATTCAATAATACATATCAAAGTCGTAAGACGTTTTCTGTAATTTAGATAAATTATATAGCTTGAAATTTAGATAAACTATAGCTTGTGAAATTTAAGTCGTTCCTTCCTTTTTAGATAAACTATAGCTTGTGAAATTTAAGTCGTTTCTTCCATTTTAGATAAACTATTAGCTATCTCAACAAATTTTCTTTCAGAAAGCTAACTCCGAATGCAAGTCAAAAACAAGCATATTATATTACTTTTTCTCTCTCCTTGTATTTTTGATATCATATTCTCATTTGTTTTCAATACTGATGTCAATATAAAAATTTTACACCTTGCTTCGAAATATCCATCCTTTCACATCTTACAACAAGAAAAAGGATATTTAGATATATAAAACTGCTTATTTATATTTTTATAATATTCAATATGTGCTTAATCTTAAAAGTATAATCTCTCTAAACAATATACATACTCTTCTGCTGCTGCTACTATATTTGCTCATTTCTACTCTCGTTCGCATTTCCGTACTTCGAGGAATCCATCTGATCGTCGCTCGCCGACAATTACCGCTAATAACAAGCGACAACTAGAGAGAAACCTCCATTCATGAGACGGTAACTTGAGCCGATGTTCGCGGATAATTAGCCGCGATCGTGGCCAGGCCATGTGACCCGCGGGCCATGTGACTAGCGAGCACGCGCACTGCGACGCACGTGAGCGCGTTCTCGGCGGGCCGCTCCGGCACGTGCGCCTCTCCCTCAGTATCGTTCGCGCGACCGATAAGTGACCTGGGTTACTCGCATCATAGATCGTAGGGACGAAGCTCGGAAGGAAGGCGAATAGACTAGAAGAGACAAATCGGTGAGTACTTCATAACACGTGATTCGAGTGCGTTGGTGTTGAATTTCACCCCCCCATTACACATAGGAAAATCGTTACGTATGTAATATCTATCCGCGTCTCGCGCGATGACCACGTGCGCTTGGAATGCATGTCGCGTTCTATGAGTATGATTAACGGTATATTTCGCGAAACGATGCGAGAAACGCAGTTCGCGAGAAACGGCGCAAGCACGTGTAAATAGCGATAGAGATTCTTTTTTCCCGTTTGTAAAAAATGACACAAGTAGCGGTCAGAGATAAAACGAATTTCACAGAGCCGATCCCTTATCTCTTCCTAGTTTCAAATATTTAAAAAATACACAGTCTCTCTCTCTCTCATTATAAATTAAGCTGACCTCTAATCATGTTGAAATAATCTGATAAGCTATATCGTTAACTTTCGAATACGGAGTAAGAAACTCACATATTGTTGTTCTTTCAAAAAGAAACCTACATTAATTATAGATATTTAATCGCCTCGCGCATCGATGCACAATATTCTTCTAATTCAATTTTTATCTTTTATTTAAAAGATAAAGTCATATAAGAGAAAAAAAGAGAATAATTTTCTTTGCCTATAACAATGTCGTATATCATTAAATACAAATTTGCAACCGTTAATTGGCAACATGTGATCTATAATATCTAAATAACTATTTTTACGCGATTTAAATAAAAAACACGCTACACAGAGAGCGATATATTTTATCATCCGTGTAAAATGCATCTCTCAAGTGATTAGATATCCCACGACTAGATCACAGATCTCGTTTAACCGCAGAAAAATGCACGAAAGTTATACGCAACGCCGTCGTGATACGTAAATAAATGTCTTAAAGAATTGTAATTAAATTATATATACGATTTTAATTATGATTTAAAATAAATCTTCGCAACCGGAATATAGAAATATTTCGTTTCTTGTTTATATAAATTTAACCTTCGGGTGTTTGTCGTAGATCAACATGGAATTTATATCGGAAGATCTCTCTCTATATATAACAAACACTAAACATAATAAAACTAGCTTCGTTCGATATGTTTCTTCGACCTTCTGCGTTCACTTGATCGGTGACTTTGTATACTGATGTTACAGAGAGAGAGAGAGAGAGAGAAAACAGATTCTTTTATGATATTTTCCTTTAACGGAAATATGAGACATCATCATTTATTACACTCTCTTCACATTTCAACATCAAACATCTTAATAAATAAACAACAAATTAAGATCCTGATCAATAATAATTCAATATTATTGACATCTTGATATTTTTTTAAATAGAGAGAAACGATTCAAGGTTTGTTAAAAATCCAAAGTCGAATATAATAACGCGAATTTCTGAAAATAGCTTATTTAATCGCATTTATTATTTATTCATTTAAATATAATTAAAACAACCTCGAGAGTTTAACGGACTGCAGTCTCGATTAAACATCTAGGACGCGACACATTCTTATCGCATCTCGTTATCAGTTCGTTGCAGATGAGTTTTACGCGTCCGCATGCGCGTGTTATCTCGTCTTTTGTTGGCATAACGAGAGGACGTCCACGTGGCCGCGGGAAGATCGTCGATTGTCATTCGCGTCCCGTTTACGTGAAAAGACGATACGTCTCTTCGGAATTTCTCGCGGTGTCTCTCTATCCATTTGTGTCTTGTCGCGCGCGTCTCGCGCGATTTCTGTGCCGTGTATCTACATATCGCGAATCTCGGCGTCGCAATTTTTAATTGTACGC